CAGCAGAGCTACACCAGCACCTAGAAGAATTAAAATGAGGAGGTCGCAGACAAGTCCCTGTAATTTTTAAGGTGCTCCCTCTCTTGGAACCTGTAACAGAAGCTTGGACTTCATAATTACTTCTTAAAGACCAGGGCACATCATCGCTGGGGGATTCCCAACAGGGGAGTCGTATTTGCTTGCTGGGAGAGGGGGTCGTATTTGACTTTGCGACGTTGGGAGAAACTTTTTCGGGTTCTTGTTGACTTTCCGCGGTTCTCCTGCTTCACATGTGCACGTGCATACACACTGACGATTATCTCAGCCATCTTTGATGTGAAAGGCGGAATCTGTTCCACAAGTGTGATCCCTCTTTAACGCCTCACTCTTGTACTCTAACTGAATACAGAACTATTTGGTTTACACTAAATGAGGGTCTTCCAACATATGTAATGCTCAGCTGCATAAGTTGTTGTGTGCGGCTATAGGGCGCTTGCAATTCCGCGGGGGCACACGACCCGAACTCCAAATGCCCGCTGCCACCCTCGCACTCTTCCGGCACGCGACATCTTGACGTCAGTTCAGTTGTTGTTTATTCTGTTTATTGTCGCTTTTACGACGCGAACAGAAAACAAAGCCATGCAAATGCTGCTTTTTGCAGCCTTCCCCGTCACCATTGGCCTTTACTTCCACTTCGTCAAACCCCCTTCCACACGCTAATTTTGACGACGGCTACAGTGAAGCCTCATCGGAATAATCCTTTGAATTATTTATTACTAATCTTGTCAGTTCCCTTGTTCAGCTATGGTTTATGGGTATCGCTGCAACCAAGCGGATTCAGTTCGCAAAGTGCAATGCTCGTCTTTTTCAATTACCATATCCCTTGCTTATCCGATTAATTTAAATTCAATTCCATTCGAAATAGCCTAGCTGCCTGAGAGCATGTACTAAGTATCAGAAAAAACAAGTGCAGCGGAGCGGTTCAGGAAAACCCCATAGCGCCTATGGTCGTTTTGTGGACTTATTTCCTCTCAACCGCACCGCTTACAAATTTTCCGTCCTTCTTTCCTTTAGTTTTTATCATTTTCATCGCATTTTTTTGCACAAATGTTTAACCGACTGTGTTTTGTCCATTAGTTTCTAGAAAAAAGTTGAAGGCTTGTCTACAAGTCACTGCCTTTTAGTGGGTGCTCGCCTCAAGTGGACTCCTCTCCGAGGAAAATATTTTTAGAGGGTATTGAAAGTTAGTTTCCCGAGCAAACAAAAGTATTGAGGTTACGGGGGACTAAATTGAAATATAAATTTTATTCAGAATTTTCAGCCTTTTCCCTCATACCTATCTGAGAGTGGATAAAAATACTAGATCATGCATCGGCGAGCACACATTGGCTGGCATTCGCCGCTAATCATTGCATAAGCCAGTTGCGTAACGTTACGATTTTGGATCAAATTTTTTAGGCCATCATTACCATTCATCCAACACTATCGTTCAGTGCCGGATCCCCTATTATTTCACTGTCATTGAAAGTTGGCTGGAGGTAGCCGTGTTTACGCTGCGCTCTCATGAGTCGAAACCCAGAAAAGCCAGAGTTCTCTTCCGCAATCGCAGAATCTCCCACGATCTCCGAAGCCTGGAAAGTTCATTTCTAAAATATTCCTCAAAATAAGGGAGCATAGAATTGAGTGATGTTACGCAGTCTAATATCCAGCGATTCTTCTTTCGACACTTTCAAGGTTAAAAACAATTCCCGCGATCTAGTATTACGGGTAGCAGGTGCTCAGTCAAGAACTAGTAGCCCGTAAGTAAGTCCTCACTAGAGAGAGAAAAAAAAACTTGGGAACACTCTGAACAGAGCCCCTTAGTAGTGGGTGCCTTCTACGAGAGACCCCCCCCTTAGCAGTGGGGGCCTTGGAAGAGTTTGTCGGACGTCAGCAAGCCCAATCGGTTACGTGACATCTTGAACTTTTGTGCCTGGTCCTGTTGCGAAACCAAGAGACGCAGACAGATAGAGGGCAGCGCCTGCCAAGGCATCGAGACGTTCAAGAAACTATGGCGAGCCAGGAAACGAGCTTTTTCAAGGGGAGGGGACTCCGGGGTGGGTGAGCCACTTAAAAACACAGATTCGACGCGATCAAAGGAATTGAGTTCAAGTTGTCCCTGGACCAGCCCAATCAGCAGGATTCGAGGTGCAACCAACTCCACGCAAGAGCACAGGAAATCATCCTACGACGCTCCAGGCAACGCTATGTACACACGCAATTCCGCTTGTAAGCCGTTGTCTTGCAGAGTGAAAGTAATCGTGGTTGCAATGGTTGCAATAATTACGCGTCTCTAACTTCTCGCCGTTTCGAGAGACGAAAGTGGTGTATTCTCGACGAATGCGGACAACGATACCAAATGCACGGAGGCATTTCGGACCACTTGATCGCGGAACTGTCTTTAGGCGCGTGGGCGTGTGGCACATCACGTATCTTGGTGCTTTGTCTGCGGAAGGGGATACTAACAGCGCTAGCTTGCATTTTCCTCCGACCATTTTCACGCTAGTGATGAGGACATGACGCTGCAAACCCATTCACCTCGTGCATGGCAGGGACTAGCATCCCCGAAAATGAGCGAAAAGTTTGCCTTTGAGCTTTTTGTTTGTTGAAGGGGAGTAGCCGTGTAAGTAAACTGTGATGTTTCCATGAAACTAATGTGAAACTCACCGCGATTGTCACCGATGGATTTCTCAGGAGAGCATGCCATTCAAGACTACCCTTTGTATGGACTGCAAAAACTAAACCTATTCTTTAGAAAAGAACCATCGATGTTGAGCCCGTTGTTCATGAGCCTGGGGCGGTTAAGTGCTCGCCATCCGATCGTTGTACTCCGGAACTAATTAGATATGGCTACCTGCCACCGAGCAACAGATTGTTTACAAGTGGCCGCCTTGAAGCTGAGCTCATCTCGTCGACAACTTGCGTCATTCGTGCTCTTTTGGAGGGTCCCTTGAAACGCTCTACTCAGTTTTCTTCGATTGCTCACAAAGTCTTGACTTCTTCCAATTTGCTTTTTTCATGGAGGACTATGGACGACATTTATGGCCTGATTAGATTAGCTTGGTCGTTTTTTCCTCTATAGTGGTCGCCCTTGGGACCAGGACGTGCCAACACGTCGTGATAGGGTCTATTGGGCGCCAGTGGACCTAAAACCGATGCGTTTGCGCTCTGCTTGCTAGTTTTCGACTTTTGCATACAGTACAGCCTCTGCGGGTGCCTGCCTGTTCATCGTGCACATTTGAGAGTTTTAGCCTCAATTTATGCCTTTAAAGGCGGTAAGTCCCTAACACGAGACTGATACCTCTGGCAGGACGGAATTCCGCGCCCCCTGAGCAGGCGCTGCGTAACGCCTTTTCCAAGGAAGGTACCCTTATAAGGCCCTATCAAGCTGCAACATACCGACCCGACGCCCGCCCGCCCACAAATGGACGACCGTACCTGATGCTCGTATTGCTTCATTTGCGAAGTGAAATGAAGCGAAGGATTGACCTGAAGCGGCCGCGGTGCTGCATGGATATAGGAGTACATCCATATGGCCGTAGCGGTTATTGGCACGGAAAACTCGTCCGATAACGCCTTTCTGATTCGCATGGAACAAAGGTTTTTTCGCAGGTTCTTGACCGTTTCACTTCGCTTTTTCGCCATTTCTCCACTACTTAACACCCCTGCTACCATTTTAGACAGAGTACCAGATTATCGTGCCTCCAAAAAAAACGTCGCGCTCATCGTCGCGCGCGATGGAGTCTCAAATTACCATTGTCTTGACCACCTTCCATCAAATCGCCGGTGTAGTCCCGTGTAGAGCAGTACCCCTCTCCATTCTCACACAAAACTAGTGTTGAGGGGAAGGCTGAGGATTTGTTCATCTAGCTGCACAATAGCTCCCTCTGACTAAATGAAATTAGGACAAATGGTGAATTCCAGGAAGGGTTCCATCATCGCCAGGCGCTGCTCTTGAGAATATTTCGTCAAAACAAAAATAAAAGTCTAATCATCAAAAAGATAAACTAACTGACATCAGCAAAAATATGAAAACATGTTTGATAAGTGTGACATGAAAATAAATAAATAGTAAGCAATGAAATATAAAATGAAAGTCAATGCAAGCATAATGGATAATATATAATGATGAGGGCAATAGAGAATCAACTGATAATGATGAGTAAATATTCTCGTCCGGTCAACGTGTGCCTTCCCTCCCACCCATTATGGCTTTGTTCACCATTTGGAAATATGGTGCTAATAAACTTGTGGGGAGGGCCACTCGAAGGCATATGGCACTTTAAATCGGTACTCGGTCCAAAAAGCTAGCAGGGTACTATATAGTAAGAGATTGGCGAAAAAACGAAGTGAAACGGTCAAAAACCTGCGAAGAAAAGCCTTCGTTCTTAATGACTTAGAAAGCAATTTCGGACGAGTTTTCCGCAGGCATCTTGCCAGTAACCGCTATGGTAGGTACGGCTGCGCGTAGGTACTCATACAGCATCGCGGCCGCTTCATATCAATCCCTTCGCTTCATATTTACTTCAAATGAAGCAATACGAGCATCAGGTACGGTCGTCCATTTGTGGGCGGGCGGGCGCGGTGGCGTCCGGGTTGGTATGTTGCAGCTTGACTGGGCCTTATGGGGGTACCTTTCTTTAGGGAAAGGCGCTGCACAGCGCCTGCTCAGGAGTGAACAATTCTGTCCTCAAGGAGTATGAATCCTACTCGTCGTAAGGACTTTATCGTGCCAGACTGCCTCAAAAGACTCCATGGTGGCAAAATAGTTGATTAGCTAAAGTACTCCGAAAGGAAATCGCGTACTCCAGATAAGTTCACCAAACTGGTCATTCCTTTTCGATTCCTTGCAAGTCTCCGTGTTTCATTGCGGAAGTCGCTTTTCAGCAACAAAAAGTCTTTTGCCTCCCTCCTTCCCAAAGTTTTTAGCGCCGAGATGTTGCAAAGTGCCTGTGGTAATGGTCTTGCTACGCTCATTGTGAATGCTCGAACGAGAGGACGATGATGTCTCGCCGACGTCACGATCATCGGAAAGACGGGAAGTGCGTCAAAAAAAGCAGCTTTTCGGCGCTTGCTGCACCCGAGCCTCTTTAATGATCTTCCTTGGAATTCCATTACATTTTTCTCTTACTTTCACAAGTGCCTGGGATAAGTATATACACTCCTCATCTCTGAGAAACGGTAGGTGTACTTCCTTCGTGCACAATGGGCACGATTGCTGGAGGCGGGCGGTTGTAGCCAGCGTCATTGGTGGAAAATGAGAAGGCGTTTGACCGCACCTTATTCAGCTCTTCCACCATGAAGTTGGCGACAAGCACTCGTCATCGTGCTCACTGCCTTCAAACATGGCCTAGGCTAGGCTCCACGTCGTTGTCCCCCCTCACCCACTGTTCCGTGGCCTCCGCATATGAGTGTTCCGTTGCCTCACTTCTTCCTTACTTGTTGCTGATGTGCTCTTCCAACGGAGAAGTTTTCCTTCTCCTAATGATAACTATGATAATCTAATTAAAACGCACACTTTGGTCCAATATTTTCAGCATATTCGGTCTGGATAATGTGCCCTTAAGAATTTGGAAGGAAACAGGGTACAACATCAGAATGAGTAAAGTGGCGTATGCCCCTCCCGAACTCCCCTCTCCAGCACGACCTCTCTTTCTGATCTTACCTGCAGTCCTACCAAATTTCTCAAAGCCTCCCCAATTTTGTAATTTTGCAATAATTTTTACTAATTTTTGTCCATAAAAGGGGGTAGAAGGTGTTCTCTGCTAAACTATCAGGGATAGTAGTAATATTTATATGGTAGCCTTGCTGTGCCACCACAAACCAAGCACTGCTCCCGATGGGAATCTCCAACGGTGTCGTACACGGTCGTCATCTCAATGTTAGATTTTCTTTTTTCTTTCATCTGAAATGCCTGAAATGACTGCTGCTAGTATCCTGGGCTTAGTCCATTAGGCAACATCGTTTTTCCGCTGGTCAACGCTTGTAGCCGACGTTTTTTTTCTCCGCGTTGACTATAAACAAATGTAATACATGGAACGGAGGGGGGCAATGGAAAACCCTTCGCCCGTGGGGTGCAATGTCGAAGTTTTCTTTGCACAGCATGGCAAGGAACACGAAAGACGCTTTGCAGCATGCACCTAAGAAAATCGTCGATAGTCAAGAACAGACACTTCAGCCCTTACGGATGAGGCCAGTAGTCATCGCCGTCAACCTCATAAAGGCTCTCAGAATCGGCATGAGCAGATGCAGCTGTCCGACTTCTAGGAGAGGTTCACGTGCGTGCAAGTTCCCAGAGAGTACTGTTATGATATCAGAAGACAGCAGTTGTCCATCTCTTTAGACAACGTTTCTATGATTCACAATTAATTTTTATAAATCCCGTCTCATCCCCTCGGGAGATGAGATCCGCCAGCAGTTGCACCTGCAAGAACAGGTGTCATTGGTTTTATGTAGGACTAACCTGTGGTCGATCTCGTCTTCCATCTCCCCCTCATATGCGGAATGGAAGTCGTCCTGCTAACTTTGAATGCTTCTATTAAGCGATGCTAAAGAGTGGCATTCCTTCTCTAAGCTATGCACTTCGACCGCTCTTCAATTCACCGATAATGAGTTTCATTGGTGTTGAACTAAGGTAGTCTCAGTTTTCTGCAAAGAAGCATTCATAGCTATCCTAACCTCCAAACCTACCTAACATCATTTATGCGCGCCCTTTATTGTTCTAAGTGTTGGCATACCATCGACAAGGCTGGAGGTCTATGAAGAGAATTATTGCCGGCGGAGCGATTCACAAAGGTCGACCCGCGTCGATTTTTACATGAATTGAAGCCGGTACCTTCGAAAAACGGCCAGGTAAGTTTATCTCTGCGTTCGCACCCTTCTTTTTTTCCTCCATTGTCAAAAACAACGGACTTATTCCTAGTACATTTGAACTTTACAACAGCGGATCCCAATACGCAGCGGATTTTTGAGGCGAGTATGCAATTACTCAAAAAAATGACTGGCAAAAGAACGTGTGACGTTAGTGCGTTGATTATGCCGCAGGCAGACTGTTCACTTCACTGATAGCCCAATAGAAACTCAGAGGAATAACTAATTTTTTTTGACAGTTGTTCGCTTATAGCTCCACTAATAGTAAATGAAGGACAGGGGATGCTAAACTCAGTAAATACCATCATTAAACTAACTCTATTCAGCCTATATGTTTTACATAGTGCAAAAGCTAATATAAAAAAAAAAAACACCCTGCAGCTCATGGAAAGGCAAGTCAAGACGACTACACACCGAGCTGAAAAAAATCCTTTTCCGGACGCCCAGCGATTACAGCAGCTTGGCTATGCGAACATGCCATTTAAGTACGCGTTATTATAATCAAATTGGAAGACTGAATCGGAATCGGTTAATAATTTTGGAATAGGCGAATTCAGCGCATGCGCGAGAAATGCCTGACAAATCGCGAATCAGAAACCAATTGCGCGCGCACTACCTCCCCTTCATCAACCGAGGAATGGGATGGTTCACACCTTCATTTTTATCTTTATTTAGCAGTTGGAACGATGAGTCCCCAAGACGAGTAAGATTAATACGTCTGGCAAGATGGAATTACGCGCGCCCGAGCAGGTGCTGCGTTGGGACCTTGACCTAGGGAGAATACCCCTTATAAGGCTCTACCAATGCGTGCAACATACCGACTCATGAGCAAATGAACAACTGTTACCAGGTGCTCGGTATTGCCTCCATTTTGCGAAGTGCGATAAGAAGCAAAAGGATTGACATGAAGCGGCTGCGGTGCTGTATGCATGGGCACATGCGTGCAGGAGTAGCGATTATTGGCAAGATGCCCCACTGAGAAATCCGTCCGAAATTGCTCTTTGAGTCATCTAAAAGGCTTCGCAGTTTTTTGACCGCTTCGCTTCGTTTATCGCCATTTTGCCACTATATAGCCATACTGTCTTCGCCAGGCACTCTTCCCCTGGGCGAGGTAGAATGCACTAAATGTGCCAAACGGAGGCAATTATTTTTTATGTAGGAAAACGAGTTGAAAAACAATTCAACATCAGTCACTCTCTACCGACATCTGGTCCGCATTGCTTACTATAGACTTTCGCACGCTGCAAGAAGGCTGCGCCATAAGGTTACGGACCGCAGTTGCGACATCAGAATGGGTGGAGTTCAATTGGTGTGGGAGAACACTTAACACTCGGTACAGACATAACTGCAGAGTCATGGGTGGCACTGGAAAGGAGCACTTCACATTGCTTGTACATGTCAAAGTGTGCGTCGCACGGAGAGCTCGAATGTTACCGACGAGAGAACGCCCGCACTCCATTGTTGGTCCCTCGCTGATATTGCCTTCAGGTAGAGAGCTTGTCATCTCTTAATAGATTGACATAGGCAGTTCGGATTTCCCAAAATTTTGCTTGATTGATTAATTCTCGATTTTGTCCCGTTTCAAGTTCCGCATTATATGCCCTCCCCCCCCTTCCCCCCGCCCCCCGTTTCTCAAAGGGAAGAGCACACACTGAGCCTTCTAATACTTGGCATTTAAGCGGTAGGAAGTGAGAAAAATGTCGCGCAGATGGTATCTAATCTGTATCTATCGATTGATAAGATTACCTGTCACCCGTCATCAATGTCCTATCTCACCAAATCTCCATTGATGTTGGTAGCAACACCTTGAACAGCGACGACGACTTCAACTTCACTTTGAGTATTTACCAGTAGTTATCGCTTCCAATCACCCACGGTTGATGTTCTCATCGCCTCCTCTATATCACTTGCTAAAACGTGCGCCTTGCTGTTACTTTCACCCGCGTTATAAATATGGTAAGCTCGCCCTTCTAACGCCTCTGATCGGATCTTATCAACTGATATCACTTCCTGTCACCCACTCATAATGTTCCCGTCACATCCTCTACATCACTTCTTGAAATCATTGTCTCACTGCTACTGGCGACGCCGCTATGAATTTCGTGACAGACAGACAGACACACACACACACACACACACACACACACACACACACACACACACACACACACACACACACACACACACACACACACACACACACACCACACGGACACTTAGCCGATTATATATAGTAGGATTGTGGCCGACCGTTGCTTCGCATCTCTCTTTACCAAGCCTGCTCTTGCAAAAGAAGGCGTGGCGCATGTTCGCTGCTTACTGATACGCATCCAGAAAACCAATCCGAAGTACTTTCCGTTCAAGCGGACTAGTTTCCGTCCGACTCCGGATTTTAGGAACTGAACTATCCATGCCAACTAGTACCCAGTCCTCTGGGAGCATAAAAACTGAACATGATGGGCGCGAAAAGAAAGAATTGCCTTCAAACCACGGTTTCATACTAAAGTACTATGTGCAGTTTATTCCGAAAAAAATGTTGAGAATGCCTATCGCTTCATCCTTTCATCATTTTATTTCAAGAAACTCTTCATGATATCAGAGCGACGAAACTTAGGACACCTGAAAAGTGTGGAAGTCCAGCTTGCACGTGCCACTGAGCATTGTATCCTTCTTTTGAGAATCCTCCATTTTGTTGTATCTATCACTTCTACTTCGATGATCAAGAATCATACGCTAGGCATCTTCTTTATGCATGGGAGACCTACAAGTGTTCATCAGATCTGGAGTTCGTGGAAAAGTTTCCAGGTATCCGGGTTGAAAAACAGAAATGTATGTGTTAGCTGATTTGGAATTCGCCCTGAGGAAAATTCGGAATTCGCCTGAGATTCGGAATTCGTCCTGAGGAAAAAAGCAAAGGAATCTGTTGAAAACGCTCCAAATAAGGACGGCCTTGTTTCATGCACGAGACAATGAATGTATGGAGGCTTCTGGAGAGACACCGGACAGGAGGGGATGACGGTCCTAACCACGCGACGTCGCGTGCGCGGCAATCTGCAAACACCGTGTGCATATGGAGTGCAGGCTGGTGATAAATCTTCCGTTTCAGCCATATTCTTCACTCTGTAGGACCTGGATTGTTAATGACAGTTAGGTTTTGCTTTATTTGCGTAACTAGAGTGATTACAAAGTAGTTGTGGTGCAGAGGAACCTGCACAGAATCCGCTGGCGATTGCATTTTCTGACTTGCTGATCCTAATCATTTGACTGTCAAAATGCTTTCTGGACGGCATTCTGACAGAGACTGTACTTATTGGCTTTGTTGAAGGTACGACAGAATGTCCTGTTGACAATTAAATGTCACTGTAACGACAACGAAACCATTGCGATTGCGCACCGATCGCAACCATACGATATTTGCTACCGTCGCGCGCGACGTCACGTGGGCCTACCGCCACATACCCGGACAGGAGTGCAATGGAGGATGCAAACGAGCAAGGCAAAAATAAACAACTAGCAATGGGGGCCGAGTTTCTCGAACAACCTTGGGTACCGGGTGTGTATCAGGAGCGTTAGTTCCTCAATCTTCCTCATACTTCCTTCAACATACGCACTAACAGTTATCTGTTGAGTGGATGGGTCCTGCTGCGAAAGCTGCACACATTTCCTCGTGTTCAGCATCTATTCCTTCACGATTGAGGGACATATTTTGCTGGCCAATGAATGGTGGCGTTTTTTTTCTTTCATGGGATCCTGTAAGAAATTTGGAACTTTTTCCCTGTTCTCTGAAGTTGTTTTGTTATGATAACTGCTGTTTTACGCCGCAGTACGCGTTCCGAAAGTTATCACAAGAATGCTGAGTTATGGGCAAAAGTCGTGCCCCAGGCGGGAGTCGAACCCGCACCTCACGCTTTCCGGGCGAGTGCGCTATCCGTTACGCCACCAGGGCCGCTTTTACCCTCTCAGCTTAACGGCTTTTATGCCATAGCCTTACAGCACTCACACATTCAAATTTTTTCAATGTGTTCTATACTGATTATAGATAATTTTCATGCCTACGAAATATGTGCTGGGTTTTAGTCAGTGTTGTTTTTTTTCATTTTTAGTTTGCCAAGATGGAGTGTTGGGTCGATAAAAATGGAATTTTTTTGGCACCAGCTTTTTGCACTTAATCTTAGCTGTCAAAAAACAGAAGCAGCCCAACACTTGCGATGCATACTACCAAGAAATGATGCTTCCCAGGAATGACTGAAGTTGATAGAAGCGATTAGGAGGTAAGAGTTTGGACCTTGTGAACGTGCATCGCATTTGCCCCCCTCCCTCCTTATGAAGTAACTGTCTGAAGCGTCAGTCTACCAAGTTTTGAACCTCTCTAGTCATGAAGGTGATGAGAAAATGGAAGCCTCTCACGACATCCGCCAATTCCCCGTTCTTTGGAATGGACCTTCATGAAAAAGCTGATCCGCTAAGCTTCCAACCGAACTCAGTAGGACATCTATTGCCATGCTTGTTTGTGTGTCGAAATTGTAACGTTCGAATTGTCTTGACCGTTTTATGCCATCCTGGACTTCCTGAGCCCTCGCTTATTGGTTATCCGGTAATGTTCCTGTCCCATCCTACATCATTGCTTGGAGTCAACTTCCTACAGCAGCTGCTTGGACGGTCGCTATGAATTTCGTGACACACAGACGCACGGACACACACACACAGACATACTTAGCGGATTATATATAGTGGGATACTTATCAAATGGCCTCTGCAGTTTCAGCTCTAGACATGCTCCTATTGAAGTAGCGCTGGAATCGAAGGTGGGCGGAGTGGGGGGAAGGGGGAAGAGGAAGGAGAGATGGTCATGACAAAGTGCTGCGCAGTCGCGTGACCATGGGCGCGGCGGCATGTCAAGCTAGGTGTTCGAAATCCCTTTTCTTGTAAATCAGTGCAACAATGCGATTTACTTATACTGCGGACATCCATAGTTACCTAAGGCAAAGCCCGAGATCATTCAACATATGGTGGACTAGCAGTTTGTATTATATATAGATGACAAGGCTTTAGGTCATTCTATAGTACAAGTGAGTATTTTCACGCTTTTTCTTCCTACAGCTTCCTTTTTCGAAACAGGCGGGCTTGGAGAGTCTAGGGTGGAGTCACCACAACCAAGGTGGCGACACGGAACGTATACTGCTCTTTAGCGCCCTCCGATACAATTTTTTGCCAACGGTACAAGGTTGTTCGTCACGGCCCACTACGACGTCAGACTACTTCTATACCTGATCGCATACTGTACCTTTGAACAAGGATATATCTATCGCATTGAAA